GCTGCGCTTGTTTTCGGGGCTGGGGGGGTTGAAGGTTGCAAACCCCCCCATTCCTCGGCGGTGTGCGTTTGCCGGGCGGTGATGGTGCAGGTGAGGAGGGGGTTTGGGGGGGCTCCGGGCATCGCCGCTGTCGCGGGGGTCGCGGGGCAGGGGAGTGGGGTGAGTGTCTCTTTGGGGGGACTGAGGGCTGGTGTCGGAGGAACCGGTGTTACCAGCGCTGTGGGTTTTCTGATGATGAAAGAGGTTGGAGTGTCGCCCTGTGTCCTTGGCGTTTAAACGAAGCCGGCATGTGTTCAGCAGCGGGGGTTTTCATGCAACACTTCACTGCTGCGGCTCCGAAGGCGCTGCTAGCGATTAATGAGTTAAGCTGCCCGTTTAAAATAATCCCCTCCACCTCCCCTAATGTGCATGGACCGATTGATCACCCCCCTACACCCCCCCTTTATTATATAGTGATAAATGTTGCTTTCTCTGCCTAGCCTTGGTTGTTTTTAAAGATTCCTGGTTATTTCCCTTATTGATAAATAAGTTCCTTCTCCTTCCTGCTCCCCCCCCCTCCCTTTTCTCCTCCCCTAGAATTAAATTCCTGAGCAACAGCAAAAGCTGATGTCAGTGCTTCAGCTTGCATTGGGGGAGCTCTGTGCACAGGTCAGTAATTTGCGGTTTCGTTGGAAGGAAGGACGCGGTGCAGTGCTGTTCTGTTAAGGATGTTTGGATTTTTCGGGGCACGGATGCGTTTATGCTTCGTATTGCGGTAGTTATCAGCAGCTCCCTGGTGGGAGCTGGGCGCTGCATAAGCATGTGTGGAAGAGACCGTCCCCGTCCCAAGCAGCTAGCGATGACAAATGCTTTGGGAATAGTTGCTGGAGGTTTCAATCTCTCTCTAATTTGGGGTATAAAGGCAGGACCCCCCCAGGAGACAGTCGGGATGTCCAAGAAGCCCTGAACAGGTAGCGCCGAGGATTGCGCCTGGCAGCCCAGGGGCCATGTTAACCTTGAGAGCAGCGTGCCCGTGGAGCGGGGTTTAACGTTCGCATTGTCTCATCCTCCTGCGCTAAGGAAGGGCTCGGGGCACGGCTGCCTACGCGCCCAAACGCGGCTGCGGAGAGCTTTGTTTTCGGAAGGACTCGATGCACAGGAATTGGCGCTTACGGGTTTGGCCTTGCCTCTGTCAGACGGGGTTTGCTCACGCTGTTGGAGGGCATCTGTGCTGGGAGGACTCTCTCTGTGGAAGAGGTTTGTTGGGGTTTTGGGTCTGGCTGGGGGTTCCTGTGCTTGCTTTGGTTTTGCTTGTAAGGGTTCTCAAAACGAAATAAGCTGCAGCACTGAGAAAACCCTCCTGGCTGTAGCTGGAAGTATTTGGGATTTTAAGATGTCTGCAAGGGCTTTGAAGGTGTCTTGTCCCCAGTTTTGCCTGTCACAGCCCTGCTGGCAGAGCCTGGTTGTGTAGGACTGTCCGAATGGCTGGGACCAGAGAGGACAGTTGGGTGCGTGAGCAGCAGATGGATGCCCAAACGCTTCTTTGCAATAGCAGTAGGCAGAAATTTATGCCCCCAGCCCATCAGCAGCACGCTCAAGCTGCTCAAGGGTCTCCAAGGCGAGATGGCAGCATCTCACACCAAAAGGCTTTTAGTCCAACAGATTTTTCCCCCCGTGGCTTTCAGTTGTCCCTGCCTTGGCACAAGGTAGGGAGTAGGGAAGGAAAACCTGGATCTAGCATTGCTGTTTAAAGTCGAGCCTTGGCTACGCTTGGGAGAGCTGAACAAAGTGGCCAGAGTCCTTAGAAGCATTCACTGGAGGCTCTGCATGGAGATTATTCTTGCAAATGCTGTGCCGTGTTTGTCTGCAGAGCATGTTTTTGCTGGCTGCCAGGCACCTTGCTGAGAAAGCCACTGAGGTGTCTGCCTTTGGAGAGTTTAAATTCACCTAAAATTAAATGCAGCACTACTATTGCTACCAAAACACCCCTGAGGGCTGGGTAGGACTTCGCAGTAGTCCCTATCCCATACTGCCAAACTGGATCTTGGGAGGTGGGAGAGAACTAGTTTCTGCCTCTGCAGCCATGTCTCCCCAAAAAGACACACACCCCCACACCCCCCCTCAAGGGCTGGAAAGCCGTTGTGGCTCTGGATTTCTGAAATTACTTCTTCTAGCGTGAATATGAGTGAGTCCCCTGTCCATTCCTACCCCTTACCTCTGCACCAGCTGCTTTAATCTACGTAAGAGGTAGGCAGTGTGTTATAGGTGCCTTTCCTCTTTGGATTTGCTTCATTGCCTTTAAGTGAGGCTGTTCTTAGGGATCAGAGGTTAGTTTCTCCGCTGTGCAGCTCGGCTCCCGAAGCCCTGGGTGCAGACAGGTGCAGAGAATGTTAACACTATCAGGGATGGAAGGAGGAAAAGGAGATGCTCCAGCACTTGGCAGCCTTGATTTATGGTGCGGGCTCATAGGACGCTGCCATCATACTGAAATGGTTCTGGCAAACCGAATCTTGTAGGGAAGGAGGCGATAAAGAGAAGGAGCTTGCGGATGCTGGTGCCTCTCTGCCTGCTAGGACAGTGTGGAGATTGAACTAGGAGAGTCTATAGACCTTTTTGTCCTCTGCTGGGTGTTTAACAGCAGCGTTAGGGGGGAGATGGCTGCAGAAGCACCTGGGTGCTCCTGGTCCTCCAAGCACAGCCGCTGGGTCTCACTTGCTCTCTTCCTTGCTGCTATGCAGAGAAACTCCTACAGCCACAGCAATGCAATGCCGTCATGCTGTGGGGAAAGCTTCAACGAGCTCCTCTGCATCCCTGTGCCCTCCGGGTTTTAAAACCTGTTTTTCAAGCTTTACATTTCTTCTCTGAAGATACACCTGTCCCCCCTGATGGAGTGGGAAGGAGGTACCTGACGTAATTATGGGCAGATTTGGGGCAGGGAGGTGAGCGGCCTGGGAGCATTCATCAGATAAGCAGCTAAAGGAGCTCTCCACTTAAGATTTTCTCTAGCTTGCTCAGGAGGCCTGGGTGTACTTCGTGTGCAGGATTATAACACAGCCAGGGGAACATGAAGGGGGGAAAAACTGACTGTGGCAAGATACTCTGCACTAATGGTATCAGGGCTGCCCTCAAAGCCAGGCAGAGCTTGTGGTGTGATGAGTGGCAGTGCAGGTTCCCACGGGGATGGTGGGTGCTGTATTGCACCCCGGCGATGTCCTGATGGCTTTGCCTGCTCCTCCCATGGAGGGGGACACCATGTGTCATGAGATGCTCTGCCAGAAGCGGTCCAGCAGCCGAGACCATGATGGAACATACCAAGCTTTAGCCACAGCAGGTGCCTTGATATCCTCTTTAGCATGAGGTCATAGAAAGAAAAACGGAGTTTTATCTCTTCCTCTTCCAAGACATGTTTGTAGACTTTCTACCCCAAGCCTTTGGGTCAGGCTCTCAACCATCTCCACTTCGAGCAAGGAGAGTAAGAGTAAGGGGGTTCACACTGGGGGGCTGTGCCCAGCATAGAGCCCTGTCCAGCCTGCGCTGCAGACTGCCATGGCTCCTGTGGGCTGCCTTGCTCCATCTCTCCGCTATTTAACTCTCCCTCTGAGGCTTTCTAAGTGCAGCTCGACAAGGTCATCTAGGTTGGTGTGCAGGGGGCTTCTTCCTTTGCTTTGTCCAGAGCTTCTGTGAATTTTTGCTGCTCTGGACCTTCAGTTTCAAAAATGACAGGTAGTGCTTGTTTGCGTGGTGCCTTGGAAGGATCAGTATTTCAGAAAATAGGTACAGTGGTAGCCCAGGCTGGGATCAGAGGAGAACCTGGAGGTGCTGACTGGAAACTGGTCCAGTACATTAAGATTCTCCGAGTGCAAACAGGGAGCAATAACAGCACAAAAATGCAGGGACTGTGTTGCCTGAAGGTGAAGTAAGTGATGCACTGACTTAATTCAAGAGCATCCCAGCAACCTATCTGGGGCTGGAGATCCTTCCTTGAGTCCCTCTTTTCTTTCCACTCCTCCTGTGCCTTTTTCCATGTTGTTTGCTGTGCATGGAAAGCCCTCACGGTTCCTGTTTGCCCACCCCGATGTATGCTTGTCTTCGTTGTACCTTTTTTAAGCCAAGCCTTGAGATCTCTTGGGGCAGAGACCCTGTGTTCTTCAGGAATTTCTTCAGAGCCCTTCAGGGTGCTCTAACAATTTGCAGAAGAGGCTCTCTGTGTAGCATTTCTACATGCTGAGTTACGGGGAGCATAATTTCTGAGCCTGCTGATGACTGGGAACAAGTCATTTGGTGACCAGAAGGACAAGACAACCTGTTCTGGTGTTGACATTAGCTCTCCTTTAGGTGAGAGAGGGGCTGGACCAGATGAGCTCCTGAGGTCCCTTTCAACCTAAATTATTCCATGACTACTCTATAAATACCCACCATCCTGCTTCTCCCAGGCTTTTGTAAAATACCTGTTATTAGGCAGTGATGGTGAGGGGACCTGAAACAAGGTGGACCACTGCTTTGATCCTGTATGAAGATTCCAATGACAGCATGACCCTGGCATCCTCCCCTCCACAGCACGCGTCCTCCAGCCCTGCTAATGATGCAATGCGTCTTTCCGGCTCGTCTCTGCCGGCCCACGTTACTCATCCGGCATGTAGGTGTGCAGTGTGCCCGCATCCATGGCTTTTCATCTCGCCTTTTTTCTTCTTTTTAATAGGGGATTTAGTTCTTTGAGGAGTGCTGCTGTCTAAAGCTAGCACATGGTAATTCAGCTGATGCAGCAGAAGCTCGGGTAGAAATTTCAGTCCGTTTATTAGGCATTTGCAGGGTTTTTTTTCATCAAGCAAGTCAAGCACTTCCCACACATTAAACCTGTGTCTGCTTAAATTGCACATCTCCCATTGAAATCCAGCCCCTCCTGGGTAATGCCAGGCAATCTTTGCTCCAGACAAAGAGGGTCCATCAGTTTCTGGGGTGTGCCGTTGAAAAGAAGCAACCAAGAAGTATCTACAGCATCCAGGTTTTTTTGCGTTGCCTCTAACAACCCTTATTTCCAAGCTTGCGATGGCAGCCTGGTCCTTCTTGAGCCGTAGCTTGAGTGGAGTTATTCATGCCATCTTCATCTGCCT